GGTTCTCTGGACACAGAGCTACCTCCAAATCCTCTGCCATCTTTATTGGTCCTCTACTGGCACATCTGCAGGTAGATTGCAACACATTCCAGGCCCTTTTGCCTTCAGAAATAACACTTCTCCTTTGGGACCCCCAGTCCCTCCTGCTACYGAAAATGAGGCGTGAGGCTGGGGCAGGAGGACACAGGTAGGAAGGTCCCAGTGGCACCTTCCATCCCAGGAGGGGAAGGGCCAGGTGGGAGCAGATACAGAGGAAGGGGCTAATAGCACTAATGGACCCTTCTCCATGTATTAATAATGCCTGTTCATGGGTCTGTGRTAGGGTGAGCACCTTTTCTCTAGGATTTTAATTAGGTTTTAAGTGCACTCAGTGCCATAAGCTTCTTTCAAAGATTGCATAACAGTTCATACTTAAACTATTCCTTTTTTTTTTCTATTTTTTTGGAGGGAAATGGTGATTATAAATAAGAAAGCAGTTTTATTGCTCAATTACTTTTGTAACTTGATTTAACAGCTTGTTTTTTTTTTAATCTACACCAAAGCTAAGGAGAAAGGATTGATAATGTAATCTGTAGAATGCATTCGATATAAAGACTGAAAATCCTACGTTGTACCRTTGGAAGGGAAACATAAATGCGTGCTGAAGTCTACAGTGGTTTTATTTTAACTAGTATAATATAACAACATGACATGCTGTGAGAAATAAATAACTTTTGAAAATGCGTTTTCCAGGAATGAAAGTAATATTGAAAAATGACTGAAGTAATCACTTTTGTGTGAATTCTGAGAGCAAAAGAGACGAAAAACATAATTCGGGACTTGATGCAGGGTGCTTCATGTGAAAGCACGCAAGGATTTCTGTAAGATACACTGCTTAAGGCTGCGCTGTGTGTCTGCTGGCGGGCAGAAGTGCTGAACTGGGAGTCRTCCTCTTTTTGTGAGCAGTCCTATTAAAAGCGGTGCATCCCGCTGCGCGGCCTTGGAGTGGCAGGATACGGCCTGTAGACAGAGCACCGGAGCTGCTGCTCTCCTACTAAAATGCCATTTTTGCTTTGATTATCGTTGTTTGGGAATGAAAAGCCCTTGCCCACGTTTGAAATCTAATCTGGTTCCCATTAGCGGCTGTGATGGGAGCAGCACCGTGTCTTCCCTTTTGTGACTGYCAGCCCTGGGAGCTTTTCCCCTTGTGCTATTTGCATACTGCTCCATATCATRTTTTTTCTAGCTAATAGTTCCATAATACAAATGGTTGTAATTCTACAAGACTTAGAGTATTTACCTCTATTTTAATGGGAGCGATGATGGAACCTGGTTTAGAAATGTTGTGCTGTGAACCTTCTCTCTCAAACTTCATGTAAATTGGGAATAAACTCCCCAGAGCCAGAGGAATTTTCGCTAATGTGGAGAGTGTCTGAAGAGCTGCAACTCCTGCTTATTTCTATGGGCATTACTAAGGAAAGAAAGTAGACTTGAGGTAGGATGTGTTACATGGGGCCCTTCACACGTGCTGCTGCTGTCGTGTCTTTGATGCTACAGTGTGCAGCTCTTGAGATGCAGCTGTATTAACTCACTTTTATTGAGGAGCCTTTATTTTTGGTGCAAAACAGTGACTTGAGCATCCTGTGTATGAGGCAGGTAGTGCAGGAACAGGCAAGAGATGCTGCACTTAGGGCATCCTTTGCATCCTGCAAATTATGTGAGCATTAGGATGGACCTGAAAACCCAGAGCTGTGGCAAAAATCTGCCCTCGGAAGCAGGAACAAAGGAGCCTGTGCAGGTTGCCCTGCTGAGACGCATTGAAACGGGAGAAGCCTCTCATTTTTCTCCTGTAGGTGTCAACCCCTCTCCAGGCGCGAGGGGGTTAATTCAATAAAATAAATATAAAATAGTCTCTAGGCTGTKGGGCAGAGCTGGAAGGGGTCAGAGGTTGCCGAGCTGCTTCACTAGCACACTAATCGATTTGCTGTCAAGGTACTGGTGCTAGGGTTTCAAGTAAGAGAAGAATTGAGTGCCGCTCGGGCCCAATTTCCATAATTGCTCGCTGCCTTTAGTGTACAACCTTTTATGAAACACAAAAAATATATCACTGAATGGTATTGATTAGCCATTGGTCTGAATAATTCACTTAGTATTTATTACCTGACCCTCAGGGGTTAAATAAATCCCCCATCTAACTTTGGCTTGGGAGAAATATTACTTATTCATTGAAATGTGGACTGATTATTGCACAATAGGAGTGTATCTTTCTTGTTCTTTTTACCTCCTCCTGGAAAACTTAGTCCCTGCTGCATCTTAATGGCAAGAAGTTAAAGGGATGTTTATTGATGGTCAGCCACATTTTCCAAAATAAACACTAATGGCTCCACAGTGATATTGCTGCACGGTTAGCACGGTTTTCTTTTGTGAAAAGAGGTTTTCCCTCTTTTTTTAAACTTGTATTTTGGATCAGATTTCAGGGTCAAAATCCAGCTCCTCCAAAGTGAACATTTTGCATATTTTTTCGTTCTGCATAAAAAGTTGTCCCCGTAAGTATCAAGTCTGTGCAACGTCCTTCTCACTTGCCATGGGATCCGGGTCTACTTTTATAGCACTGTTTTGGAGAGCTCCTGAAGGCTGTAAATCTTCCTATCATATTAAACATCCTCTGATAATTAAATTCTCACAGAAAACAGAAACCTTTGCTTACACAAAAAGATAGAATTTAAACCAGTGAACCATGGACAGCTCACTGTCATTACAATAAAAATGATTTCACATTACCTTAAAATGTTTTGGACATAATCTGYGGGGCATTTTATGGCTTTTTCAAACACGAAGCCAATAATCAATTATTTATCAGAGCATGCTATTTATATATTGCTTTTAGCATGGTTAAACAGTCCCTATTTTGTTGATGAGCTGATAAACCTCAAACACAATAGCGTAGCTGCTAGATTTAATTATATACTCATTTACCATAAGATCTAGTCATCTAGATAAAATTGTTCAGTAGCTTCAAGTATCCCCTCCAAAAAGATTTCCTAACTTTGTGTAAAGGCTTTCCTCAGTTTCCTGCCTGCATCCTCCAGCATCTCAAAGTATTGTTTTTGAAGTTAGATGGAATTTGTGTTAGGTCAAGAGGAGGAAACTATGTGAAGTTTTTTTTTAAATGCAATGTAAAGGAAAGAGCCCAACGTGGTCCCGGTGCTACCTTGTGTTTGTTGATCGCTGTGTGTGTCTGTATCCAGGATCTGGGCTCGGTGGTTGCAGGCGCTCGGCACCCCCGTTCGCGGTGTTATAATCCGCAGCCTCCTTTCCTGTATCACATAATGGAAGGAAAAGTCTGTCCGAAAATAATGGGCTGCTGCATGTACGAAATGCTCCGGCGGGCGCCCAGGTGGCCGGCGTCCCGGTTCCTGAGCGTGGAGCCACGGGAGGAGGATTTATGAGTATTTCGGGTCTGTGTCCCATGCAGCATGTCCCCAGCCGGGAATTGCGTGGGAATGCTGACGGATTGGCAGGCCACGCTTTGTATCCGAGCGCATCTCTGCTTTATGGTGCGCAGCAGACGTGCCCACGCACGAGGTGGAAAAGAGGGATTTGCTTCTCCCAGTGTCCCTAGGTAGAAACGCCCTCTGCCCAGGTAGAAACATCCTCMCTGGGAAGCACAAAGCAGGAACAAAATGATTTTAAAAAGGCTTCTGCTGACATCTCAGGATAATTCAGTGGTGAGCGTTGAAAGGCGTGTGTCAGCTGAACAGTCTCATTTGGAGAGCTAATTATACAAATAACATTTTTTGAGCAAGCTAATGTCATAATAAAGTTCATAACAGCAGACAAACAATCTATTAGTAAGAGGATCCTAAAAGAGCAGCCCTGTCCTCAGAGGAGACAGAGTTTCTATGTGAGTCAAGGCTCCTGGCTGTCTCTACTCTGGGGATTGCCCTCATGCAGGTCCCTTGTGCCAGGGTCCTGATCCTGGCATGGGGCTCTGAGGTCTCCAAAGTTCCCTACTGTGGGTGCAAAATCCCACTCAGAAAAATTACAGTAGCTTATCAGGTTAATTAAGACTTGGACTTCTTTCTGTCTTTGTGTGCGTTCTGTAGAGGAAAAACTTCTGCAGGGTGAAATGCTGCTGATGGACCCTTTGGATAGACAAYGTGGAGGTGTCCAAGGGAAAGGGAAGTGGCACTGCTCTTCTCCATCTCTCCTCCTCCTTCATACACCTTAATGCATCCTGAAACATGCATTTTCTTTTCCTTTTAGCTTGCATCGTACATAATGTTTGAAAAGCGCTGTCAAAACAACTCATATGGGGGGGAAAAAGTAATTGTCTTGATACGTGATGATTATGTGGAGCTTAAGGAGCAGCAGAGAGAGGGTTATTTTGTTTGCAGCTTAACTAGAAGTGCCCAAGATTTCCCAACTGTTCTATTTTTACAAATGCAAAAGTTTCATAAAGGGTCAGATTTAGGCCCTTGTGTGGGAAACAACTGATACTGCCAGCAACAGGGCAAGATCACTGCTGTGTTGTGGTTTAAATGTCTTATTGCATTCCTCGCATTGCTGAGCTGTATATAGAATGGATGACTCTAAATCTCTAGGACTTTATGTGAGCTGGTAACCCTTTGATTTTTGTTTTAACGTTTATGTATTATTTTTAACCCTCAATGTTTGTGACTTTGACCCTCCTCACAGCTTATGGCACAGGAAATAGGGGGGAAGTCACAAACAGCCTATAGAAACGGAGACCACTTTTGTTTTCATTATTCCTTTTCATTTGGACTGTTGTCTCTTTAATTTTCCCATCTGGATGGCTTGGCCCCAAAAGGAGAAGCAAATGTGGGCTGGGGAACTGCTGCCATCAGTTCAGAAAATATATAGATCTCACGTGCAGTAACGATGTATCTCAGTAGATTTAGTAAAACTAGAGATGTCACATTCACAGCTGGTTAACATTTTACACTTGAAGTCCTCATAACATTTGTATATGTTTCAACACTTCTTTTTTTTTTTTCTAGCTTGGGACCATCTGTATTTCTCATATGTGACACTGACTGGGAAGCACAAACTTTCACAGAACCAGCAAATGACTAGCTAGCTCTACCAGATGTCTGCATCTCCCCACTTTATCACTCTGCATGCTATTAAATTGGAATCGGGTGGGGGAAAGGGTGKACTTCTGTGGGGAACTGTTCTTAGTTCCGAAGTTTCACGTGAAGAATTTAGTTCCCAGGGCCTTTGCTGCACTTAGAATAGCAATAATAAGGCTGATGGATTTGTGCAGAGGGAAGACTTCTTTAAAATTAAAGTAGATAATCGTAGACTAATCTAAGCAGGTATTACATCTGCAAGAGAGGCTGTTAAAACCTATTCTCCCAAATTTCAATTTGCCCTCCATGTATTTCTTTGCTCAGCTGTATCRATTTCATTGTGCTTTTCTTTTGCTTTTAGCAAAAGTTAATTTCTTGTACTTGCAAAGGATAAATGCATGGGGAAAAAAAAAAAAAAAATTCTTTCCTGCTGTTGAGGTGCCATTAGGACAGAGCCTAGAGAAATAACAAGTTTTCTCCCTGCAGCTCTTTGGAGCAATCCTACCCCAATCCTACCCTTTTTCCTCCCTTGGCAGCTGCCYGGCCACCCAGTGCTTTAGCTGTTGTATTGACCACCTCGGTTCTCATCTGAAGAGTCCTGTCCTGCATTTTAGTGCAGGATCAGCTTCCCTAGACGGGGGAAAAAGCTCCAGTATATGCAGCCATGAGGGATAAACAACAGCTTGGTATTGTACAGCGCAGCGTGATGGGGGTCCCCTGAAGATACAGAGCTAAGTTCATTACGTTTAATCAACCCAGGCCACGCAACCGAGTTGGACACCTCAACCTTATCACGTATTGCTTTAATGTCCTGCTTACGCTCAGGGCGGAGGTTCAAGGGGATGGATGTGACCATCTGGCACTCAGCTGGGAAAATCAAAGATCCCTTCAAATGGGCGATCTGTGGGTAGGCCTTTAAAAAGTGATACACAATGCTTGAAAAGAATATCACAAAGTTGTTTCAAATTGCATTGTCGGGAGCTCTCACTGAAGGGAAAACTTCCTCCTTTCTAAGGTTTACACTGTCCRTAACTAAAATTAGCAGGAAGCTGGTTCCATTTTTTTACGTTCAGACGGACCTGTAGAGACATATTAAGTAGAAAACCTGCAGCAAGGGAGAGCCGCCTATAGGAAATCTTGCAGGGTTCAGATGAGGGCAGTTTCATGTGACCTCGTAGATTGGATATAAAAGGGCTGCTATTAGTTCCATGTCAGTTCTTATAGTGAATGTTGCAGAGTAATGGAGGGTGTTAAGCTGTCAAATACTAGCAAGGGTTAATAAGGTTAAAGAAGAAGTAAAAGCAGGTCAACAATAAAAAGAAAACATGGAAAAATATGCTGTAATAAATAAAGGATGGCATATTTTGGTAGGAGGAAAAATCAAGTCATAACTTGGGAACGTATCAGTTGCACAAATCCTATGCAGGACACTGTATGTTCTGCATGCTGGTCATCTAGTTAGCTCCAAGCGGTGCTCATGCAGCTGCAGAGCCAAGCCAAGCTCCCCTATTTACCACTGATATTTGGAAAGAAAGAAAAAAGCCTGAGCTGTGCATCTGAACCCCCTGAGTGCTCTAAATATAAGCGGAGGGATGCAAATGAGTGAATAAATGCATGCCTGAGCTAATTAATTAAATAAGAGGATCTCGAACAGGAGCAAAGCACCTGGAGTTAGATATGAACCATGTTTTGACATGGTCCTCTGAGATGATTTGAGCTTCTGCGCTTCTCTCTGTCTGAATTCCAAAGTTATTCTGATCTATGATTTAAAAAAAAAAAAAAAAAAAGATAGAACTTGAAGCTTATTTCATACATTAATATTATTGGTAGTAGTTCTGTCATCTATCTTAATTTTCACCTACTGGAACGTTACTAGGGAAAGAGTTTTAAACTTTGAGAAAAAACAAGTAGAATATTCTTAAGGATACTCTTTAAAAGTTGGGCCTGAGCTTTGCAAGGCCACACTCACCCGCTGCCCTACCACCTTCAGCATGGTGACAGTGAGCTCAGTTATTACAAGGAGATCTTTATTTCCTTCCATAAAGTTAAGGCTGAGGCAAGCGTTTGCAGGTGAGAGCTACTAGACTGCAAAAAATGCTTACTTATGCTCTGTGATCCCAGTGGGCATTGTGATTTTAGTGAAATTTCTGGCAGCTCTCAAGCTATTCTAGAAGTGATGTAGCTTCCTATCGCGAATGTGGACAGCAAGTTCTTCCTTCTACTGGGAACATTCGTAGATTGGTGAATGTTCATGATTGCTTTGATTATAACTAGTGTAAGGTGCTGGAGAGGATATTGTTTTCCCTGTTTTAAGTACTGCTCCTCRGCCTTTTCAATTGCAGCTACATCTGTGTTACCTGGGAGAAATCCCAGTCCAAGGGCTCATCCTTGGCACGGTCGCCAATATTGTGGCTTTGCCACCAMGCACCAGCTGGGCTGCACTTGGAAGGTTTGTGTCTCCTTTTGGTGAGCAGTCTGCTCTTCGATGCCCCCGTGACAGCATCGGGGTGACATCCAGTTATTGTTATTTTCCAAAAAAACTTCTCTCAGTCCTCTCATTGTCCCTTGCAGCCTGCCCAAAGAGGGATGTCATGTCCCAAAATGGTAAGAAAAAGTTGAGAAACACTGAGTAAGGATGCACTGAGAAGTGAAGTCAGAAAATTTGCGAGCACAGCTCCATTTTTCTGGCCGTTGGGTTCTCTTAGCAGACAGGGGATCGCTGGGTCACCCCGGCCAGTTCCCATGAAGGGGCCGCTTTGCTGCCATGTGGACCATAAGAGACCCTTCCCATCCCCAAAACTCTGTGCAAGCCATCGCTCTGGTTTGCTGGGGTTCAAGCCTTGGTTTCAAGGACATCCCGCAGGGAAAAGGAGTTCCAGCCAGGAATGGAGGAAGAAACGATCAGATTCATTTCCTCCATGAAGGAGCCCAAGGATGTGCCTCGTTCGAAGCCAAATAGCTTAATAGCTATTAATATTATTAATTAATAGCTCAGGCAAAGCAGCACTGGGAAAGGTCTGCATCCTTTATCCGAGGGTTTTGCAGGAGGGAGCTGCAAGCGAGGCAGGATTCCTTGTCTCTGTGTCCCTTGGCTCGCTCCTCGGTGGGTCCTGCCGTGCTCCAGCCTGGCCGCGGGGCAGCCCTCCCGGCGCTGCCTTCCAAATCCCAATTATCAGACTCATTGTTGTTTTTCAGCTGAAAATTGGAACATTTCAGCAAATGGAAAATTTTCCACCAGGACGCTCTTTTCGGTCCAAAACACTCTTTTCCAGAAAAGTACTTCGATGAATAAAATTCTAGCAATTTCTGTGCCTGGAAAACCTAGCTTGAAGCTCAGGTCTGCGCTCCAAGCTGGCTGCRCTGTCCTGGACCCCTCACAACGGTGACACATCCCTCCGCTCGCTGGGCTATAGGATGCTTGGAGGAGAGCAATATGTTTGTTTTTAATGATGCTGCTGGTTTTCGCCATAAATTTAAACAAAGTGGGCGGTATTGGAACCAGCTGCTGGAGTTTTTTTGTTTGTTTTCATGAGAAAAATGGCAACGCACTGCAATAAATTAAACAATGTACATATTTTTACATAGCGCTGCCTCTCTGCGTGTTGCTGCCAGGAAATTACAGAAGCTGAGGGCAGCGCTGGCCCCGTATTCATTTCACACGCACCCAAGTAAAGCGACGAATGTTTCAGAGTAACTGGATTTCCTTTTAAAGTGCCACTTTATTTGTGCTTGAGAAATGTAATGAGCCTTTGCTAAGAGATTTTTCTGGCTGTGTTCCTTCTATAAGGATCTGCCCTTATAAAAGAAATCAAAGAAAAATATTTTTAAAAATTAAACAATTTCAGAGRGGGGAAAAAAAGCACCCAAATTATTTTGGCCAACTGATTGGTTCCTCAACCTATTCTTCATTAGTGTTTTGTGGACCGTTCTTGTCCTAYCCCTTGGGGACCACCCTTGTGCTGTCCCCATCGTGGGTCTGGGAGGCATTAAGACCCTTTAAAGTCAAAGGGYGACCTCATGGCCTGAAATAATTCTCAGGATCACACAAGTGGCACTGCACGTTAATGCCCTCAATGGCCATGGCACGGCTTGGGGAGCAGCTCACCTTCTCGGGATCGCGCAGCCCCAACGCTGTGCGRTACCGAAAGGAAATAATTAATGCTTGGTAGAGGGGCTGGCAATTAGTGTTTGATTGAACGTGGCTTGGAAACAGGTGGCACTCGGCAACCTCACGCTCCGCTGTCCGGCCGGGGTCTGCTCTGTGTGCAGACAGGCCGTGCAGAAGCGATGGCCTTTCCGGGGCTTTCGAATGATTTTCAGTAATTAAACCAAAGAGGGATGGCTCCCGTCCCCGCTCTGCTGCCTTTATGGGGACATTTGTCACCTCTCCAGGGCTCGCGGGCTGYGGCAGCCTGCAGTCCTGGCCAGGAGGGCTCCTGGTGCACTGAGGATCTTGACATTGCAGTGGATCTTGATGCCTTTTGAGCACTGTGCTTGGCTCCCCTGTGGAAATCAATCTGGAGATGGGAGTCAAGGTTTCAATCAGCAGAGCTGGGAACTTGCGGGGAGGATGTAGGAAGGGAATAGCAGAATTCCCCCGTGCTGCCTTGGGGTTGGACGATGCCCGGTATGGAATGAGGAGGGCGAGGAGCTGCTGTGTGACACGCTCAGGCTCTTGGCTGTCTGTCCGTCCTCGGCRTGTGGCGAGTCAGAGCTAAGAGCAGCCGGCACCAAACAGCATCAGTCTCCAAAGCGGGGATAGAGGCCAGTTTTGGAGATTGTTTCTCATAATTTTCTATTTGACATATTTCCCCCTGTGCTTTTAGATCCAATGCTATCTTAATTATTAGTATACTTTTRGTAGTGCGCACCAAATACTGTTTTAAGGATGCAACAGAAATGCCAGCTTAAGCAGGAGCAGAGCTCTGCCAGACATCTGAGATGTTCTTCAGCGATCAGAACTTAAGAGCAAAGCAGGATCTCTGTGTTAGCAAAGACCCGCACAGCGAGCGAGCAATGCAAACATTAATGAGCCTGATATAAAACATTTTTAAAGCATTTTTATAGTTGCTATAGAAACACCTTAGCCTTCACTCTCGCTAATTAGTTGGGTTTTGCACATTTTATATTTGAAAATGCAAATCGCATTTCATAAATTATTACTTATTTTTCATTTATATTTACAGTACTGCTACCCAGATATATGCAGGAAGTCAGAGATATGAATTAGTTATATAACACAAATAAGCGTGACATTTATGGTCACAAGACATCTTTTGGTTTAAATATCCTTCTGGTAAACGCTTGGAGGAACAGTGCAG